AGATGCTGGTGGCAGCTTCTGAACTTAAGGAAGTGTTTTCTTGTTTGGACACTTCTGATCCTGATTACAAGGGAGCCCCATCTATGCAAGATTGGAAGTTGGTTGAGACCCTCTGTACTTACTTAAAGCCCCTCTTCGATGCAGCAAACATTCTTACCACGGCAACACATCCCACTATTATTACCTTTTTCCATGAAGTTTGGAAGTTGCAGTTGGATCTGTCTCGTGCTGTTGTGAATGAGGATCCTTTCATCAGCAACCTTACGAAACCCATGCAACAAAAAATTGACAAGTACTGGAAAGATTGTAGTCTGGTATTGGCAATTGCAGTAGTTATGGATCCTCGATTCAAGATGAAGCTTGTAGAGTTTAGTTTCACAAAAATCTATGGCGAAGATGCCCATGTATATGTTAAGATTGTCGACGATGGGATTCATGAGCTGTTCCACGAGTGTGTGACCCTTCCCCTGCCATTAACCCCTGCTTATGCAGAAGAAGGAAGTGCTGGAAGCCATGTGAAGACGGATGGGTCTCCGGGAGGAACTCTGTTGTCAGATCATGGACTAACAGACTTTGATGTCTACATCATGGAAACTAGTAGCCAACAGATGAAGTCTGAATTGGACCAGTATCTGGAAGAATCACTATTGCCACGTGTTCCAGATTTTGATGTGTTGGGTTGGTGGAAGCTAAACAAACTCAAGTACCCTACTCTTTCCAAAATGGCCCGGGATGTATTATCTGTTCCGGTCTCAAGTGTTCCTCCAGAATCTGTGTTTGATACAAAAGTGAAAGAGATGGATCAGTATCGAAGTTCCTTGCGGCCAGAGACGGTGGAGGCCCTTGTATGTGCGAAAGACTGGATGCAGTATGGAGCCGTCGAAGCTTCCAACGCTCTCGTGAAAATGGAGTTCTAGATTTAATTCATGTAATTTTGGTTTACGAAGAGGGTGTGACAGAAAGGCCGCATCGTGCATCGCGATATTTGATGAACCTGCACGTTCTCATTTAGGTGGTTGTACTCTTTATGATGGTAGGTTCTTGTATTTTACTTGTAGTTCCTAGTTATATGTTAGCTATGTTGGTGACATTTAATGTGTAGATTTGGACGTGAATGCCTATATTCTAGTTTACTTTTCTGGATTAGATGCTAGAACAGATCCCTCTTTAAGGTGATATGTTGATGTAATAATTTAACTCCTCAATATTCAATCACCACTATTCAGGGGCTGCGGTTGGATTGGCCTATGCTGGTTGTAGCCTGTTAGTTATGCATGTTTCTTACAGTTACGATTCTATTTCCATTCTCTTACTTATTTTTTTTTTTTTTCCTTTGCTTAAACATGCATTCATGTGTTTGTGACCGTAAGCTGACTGTATGGTATTAGAGATTACCGAAAACGGGAAATGTAGTTCTTCTCAACTTAATCACCACTCGATTGGAGTCGGAAACCTTGGTGTAAGTAGGTAAGCTTGGATCCAGTTAATGTTTTTCTGTTTATGTAGCTTTTCTTTTGCAATAGTCATCAAAAGAAGTAACATTTGGCAACTAATTTTTATTTTAAACTTTTATGCAGAAAATAAATGATTGATAAATTCATTTCAACTTAACGTAGTTACATAAAAGCTAAATAATAATTTTAACTTGATGATCCTTTTGAATTAGGTATAATTTAGATGACTTTATTATTTAGTTAGTATGCATAAGCAAGGAAAATTAAAAGAAAAAGCGAACTGAATATTTTTTAAGTTCAAAATGTTTTTATTTTTGTATTTTGCATTTTGTGGAATATTTTTTTTACTTATTCAAAAGCGGAAATGCCTAATTTAATTACAATTTATAATGTGAAAAATCAGTTAGTTGTACTTTTTTTTCTCGAGTGAGTGTTAATTGAAGATTTTATTTGAATCAGAATAGTTTTCCAAGTTGACCCAACATAAGTTGGAGTCACGTAAAAGCATTTTATTAATAGAAGCAACTTACATGAACGTGATTTAAGAAAAAAGTGATTTGTATTTTTTATGGTAATTCATTATTGTAAAATAACTTAAAATTTAATTTTACTTCCTCAATGAAAGAAACAATAATTATGTCGTAAATTTTAATTTTTTAATTTAGATGAAATTATGAATTTGAGTAGAATATAAATAAGTTGTTTAAAGAAGTAACTCAACTTTCTCTAAACAAGTCAGAGTATTATGTTAAATAGCAAAAAAGAGTTACTTGAAACAATATCTATCAGTGGAAATAACTTGATGCAAATGAAAAAGTTTGAATATGGTGTAATTATATTTTAAATATAAGAGTGCTTTTAATGTTGTAAAATATAGTTACATACGACAGCCCAAAACGCACCAATCCACTCCCTTCTTGATGGAGACTGTTTTTACTCTCTCATTCTTTTAATCACCTAAATTATTTTTTTTATTTAAATATAATTTAGTCCTTATTAAATTAATGAATTTCGATTTTGTCTTCTCTAAAATTTCTTTTTGTTTTTATTCTCTATATCTTTTTAATAACTCTTTTTAATTCTTATCAAATATATACAATTTTAATTTTAATATAAATAAATAGCCTAATTTAACTTTTTTATTTAATTCGTACCTAATTTATATCATGTGATACTAAACATAAAAATAATAATTTTTAACTTTAAAATATTGAAAAAAAATCCCAAAAAATCTAAATATAAAAAAATTATATGATTTTTATTTTAAAACAGATAATAATAAATTTTGTCTAATTTTACCTTATCTTAGACTAATGAATTGATTAAATAATTTTGGTCGTACCGAAAATAAAAAAAGTTACTAATGTATATATTAAAATAATTAATTAAAAATATTAAAATATAAATTAAAATTGGTAAAATATATATATATATATATATATATTTAAAATTCTAATTATATTAATGATAATAAATTTTTATTTTAGATATAATAATTAATACATTAGTTATAAAAAATATATTTATTCGATCTAAAATATAAATTAAAAACTTAATTTTGATTATTATTATCATTTATTTTTTAAATAATTTATGAATCTAAAATAATAATTTATTTTAATTATTAGATCTATAATAAATAATATTAGAGGTTTATTTTTTATATTTATTCTTATTTTAAGTAAATTAATTTATAATATAATAATATTTTTTATTTAAAAAATAATAATTATTTTATAAAATAATTTGGAATATGACTCGTTTAACTTAAGTTAATATAAGTTATAACTTAAATAATATTAAAATAAATTTAATTTATATCATATTATATTTTTTTACTTAATTTATCTTATTTTTGACACAATCATTAAAATATAGGCATTTTGACAAAATCATATTATTTATTGGATTTATGCATTTTTTTATTACTGTGATATTTTATTTTAATAAATTATAATTTTATGTTTATATTTTAATTTATATCTTTTAAGTAAAATATTATATTATTATTTGTATTATTAAATTATATTAACGAGAAATAATTCTCATAAATTATATAATAAGGAGTTTTTTTAAGCTAAATTAATAATTATTTTAAGAAAAAAGAGCAATTATTATTTTATCAAATAAATAATTATTTTTGTATGATAAATACTATATAAATATATCAAAATTGATTTAATTCGATGGATAGTTAGGCAACAAGCGCTAGCCACTTAGCAAAAAGCTTAAGCGGTTCACACTTATTACTTTAACCACCGGTCCCACCACGCTTCAGCGACTCGATTCCCCGCTCTTCGGGAATCTCGAGGGACTTACCACACGCTGCCTCAATTCCGTCCTCGCAGGAATCGAGCACGCGCCTCGCTTCGATACCAATAGTTAGGCAACAAGCGCTAGCCACTTAGCTAAAAGCTTAAGCTGTTAGTAAGGGTTCACACTTATTACTTTAACCATCGGTCCTCAAATAAATAATTATTTTTGTATGATAAATACTATATAAATATATCAAAATTGATTTAATTCGATGGATTAATTTGAAAATTGTAAAAAATAAAATTTGTGGTATAAATTAAATTAGATCTTATTATAATAGATTAGTCTATAGTTTGTAACTTAATCTATTTTATAAAATAATAATTATATTTTATAATAAAAAATATTATTTTATTAATATATATATTATAAATTATTTTAATAAAAGATTAAAAAGAGTATATACCAAAATAAGTTTTTATCAATCATTTATTTTAATATTTTAATTATTAAACTTAAATATTATTTTAGATTAATAAATTACTAAAATATAATTTATGATAATAAAAATAATAATTCTTGTTTTGATATTAATTCAATGGAATATGTTATAATTTATTTATTAAATAATTACATCTTAATATAATTTAAATTTTAGAAATATATTTAATTTTTTTATATTTAAATATTTTGTAATTAATTATTCTGATATAAATATATTAATATATTTTTTTAATTAAACCGTATCAAGATTAGTTCATTAAACTATGACAAAATTAAACTAAAATTTTTGATATATACTATCAAATTTTTTTATATCATTAGTAAAATCAGGTCAAAGTGGAGTTGAGTCTCTTACTTGACAGTTGTAATGGTGATAGTCTAACTAAAATCATACTTAGATGGTTAAAAAAACTATTATGATTTTATTTGTATAAAGATTAATTGATAACCCACTGTTTAACATATATTCATCTACTAACTAGATTGAATAATATAATAATAATATTTATTTTTTCTTTATTTCTATAAAAACTTATAATGATTATTATAATATTAAACTACGTTGTTGAATGAGAGTTTTGGTTTTACAATTGTCAATATATCCCGTCTTTTTTTTTTTTTTTTCTGTTCTTTTCGAATTTTTTGGCTATGTTATCATTTAATACAAACATTTTCAGAACCTCCTTTTTCCCTCGCGTATTTACCCAACCACAAGCAGGTGTACCCTAACCAATTCCCAAATTTGCAGAATTAGTGAGTACATGCATTTTATTACGAATTTTTTAATTATTTTCCTTTTATTGATTCTATTATGTGAGTATATGTTGCAGGAGATCCAAAAAGTTCAAACTGAACTCTTTCAGAAGCTTTCGGGGGACGAGGGCGAGTTCGGGCCTTGATGCGATTGTAGCCGTTTGCTCTCAGGTGAATGTCGTTTTCCTATTAAAAACCATAACTTTATGCTAAAACGTTTGTGGGTGTCGTTTCTTTTTGTTTTGTTCGAAAGTTTCATCATATTGGATAAAAATAAGAAAAAAAAACACACACACATTGGAATGCTTAATCAATGGGTAATGTTCAAATGAATTCATATAATGGGATGACTCACTCAGTCAAGATTGAAATTTGGCGATTGTACATTAGTGCTAGGTGTTCGTGAAAACGATTGAACGGATATATGATTTATTGAAATATAAGAAGAAAGTTGTACAATTTCATAGGAGTATGACATTTTCTGTAACTTGGTATGTTCGTTTTTGTCCATTTTTAGCTATTACTTAAAAGTTATATTTCTGTATCATACTGAAATTCACATATTGACTACACAGCTCTCCTCTCATTTTTCTCCAGCTCCTGCACTAGGAGAAGATCCAAATCCAGTTAATTTAAGTTTATAATAATCATGTAATAATTGACTAGTATTCAAAGTTAGTTAAGTCCTATTTCTACAAGTTACCAATCACCGAATGCAGTTGGTGCTAGCTACCGATCCAGTTTTCTGTATTTTCAGATTTAAGCCGTCTGATATTCATCAATTAGAAAGTTATATGAAAGGGATAAGAAATGAGAAGGGGTATGATTAGGTTAAGGTGGTAGTTTGAGGAAAAATAAAAAAGAAGGAGAAGGGGAATGTATAGGTAAAATAGATAGTGTAACTAGCAACCATTGTTCCTCCGACACACTCACCCCATTTCATATTCCCAAATCTCATTTGAAATAACAAACTCACAATCTCTTTTTTCTGAACCCAGATTGTAAACTCAAATAGGGCCCCCTGATTTTGAGCCCTAACTCTTTCATTAATTTTAAATGGAAGTGCCCTGGTGGCCGATCCCTTGCCAACCGCCATAGGCAATTTGTGAAGGGAGAGGCCCTCTATGTCAGTGCCATGCCATGGACAACAATGGCGTGTTTATATAGAGAAATTTTGGCCTTCTGCCATATTCTGTGTGCACAATTGATAACACTGCTTCTAGCTTCTCCATGGATCGTGTCCCATGTTTCCTCTTTCTATTGCCATATTTCCTATATTTTTTTTTGTCTTGCCTTATCTTAGCTTGATAAGGCGGTGTTCCTATTTTCCAATAATCTAAAAGCAAAGCCTTCTCCAGTAGTTGTAGATTACTATTGTCTTAAAAAATAATCTGGTGGATAACATAATTTATTATGACAAAATAGATTTTCCAGAAAAAAAAATTTCCTACATTAATAAAATGACATTTTTATTAAAAAATTATTTTTAGCATAAGTACTAACTTTTATTTTAAATTCATAAAAAATTCTATGTGGTGTGTAAAATCGATAATTAAGATTTTAATCTAAATAATTTTTCTTTTGTGTAAATGCATTTGTAATATATGTTGAATTGTTCTGAAATACACATAATTATGAACATTTTTTATGAAATTTGATGCTTTTATATTTTCAGGATTAATTTTAATTTTAAAGTTCGCCCCCTCTATCTTCTAGGTTTGGCTCTATCCCCAAATGGGGCTGGCATATTGGATCCAGACCCACACAATTTCACTTTATATTGGTCATTTTTAGACAAATAAGAAATGGAGAAGGTACGGTGATGGTGCTGGCTACCTATAAACACTGACTCGACGCAGATGCTAACTCAGTTCAAACTACTGAATCAGTTAGTCTTAGTCAGGTCATGATTTAAAATATTAGGTCAGGTTTGGAGGAAACCAAACCCAGATAGTCTCCCATGAATTAAACAAGGATTGGGAAAAGGTACTTACATCAGTGTGTTGCCTGTAAGTTATTTGATTAAATGTCGACCTTTTATTCTTCTGTTTGAGTTTTCTTATTCATCTCTGAAATATTACATACATTACTCTCCTTGCCCTGAGGTTCTCACTCAACATTCCATGAATTCAGTACTGTGAATCATTTGAAGAAACAAGGAACATGAAATTGTGTGGGTCTTATTTATTCAGTGACTTTGTGGTGTGGGTGTAGCAATAAAAAAATTGGGTTTTATTTTCTCCACTGTTTTCATTAGTTAAGACATCTTGAATTATCCATATTTAGATTAATGTCCTTTTTCTTGTTTTTTTTTTTTTTTTTGTTACAGTTTTAACAACTTGGTGGTACTGAGTTCTCAGGTGCAAATTAGGGTTCTTAATCATGAATGTTGACATTCATATTTTCAAGTTGGACATTGATGAACTTATTGGTGAATTTAGTCAGGTATCAATAACATCTATGGCCAGTGATTTTCCTCATTTTTTTTATATTTTTTTAATTCACGAAGTTTGCTTGCCATTGTTTGGATATTAACATTCACATTTGATGTGCAATTTTGGTGAGCGACAGGATGAGTCAACAACTTTGGCTGATATGAAAAGAGTATGGATTTCGAGGAAGTTCTCCTACATTTACGAAGCTTGTCCTTCTACAAACCTAGCATTCTTCATGCAATCACTGTATTCTCATTGTATAGGTAATGTATTTAGAATTTTTTGTGGGCAATTTGCATGTTGAATGGTTTATTTCTGCTGAAAATTATTTCCAAAAGTAAAAAAGCAGTGATTCAATCTGAAAAAGCTCATAATATTTGTGAAAATTTACCAGTATCTGATGATTATGTAATATGTCATTACAGCCATTTAAGTTTTAATTTATTGGCCTTTATATTTTTATTATGCAGGCTACATTGTTGATACTGCTTCTTTATCACACAGATTAGGCGGGTTGTATTGCCTCTACTGTCTTTACGAGACTCAACCATTTAATCCTTCTTTTAAGGTTTACATATCCCTTGGTATGACAATTTTCCACTTGATAAAATAACTATGTTTAACTATACAGTTATTGGATAATTTTTGCATTGCCATGCTTTAATTTTGTTCAGAATTACTTTAATTTTGGTTTTGCCTCGATTCTATTTAGCCTTTCAATCCCATTGTGTATCCTTCTCTATGAGCATGTGCGGTACAGGCTCACCTCACTCATTTTTGATTCAGTACTTGGAATCCATTATGTGTCATTATCATACAATAAGTACGTCTTCTTCTTTCATGTGTTCAAAATTTAGTTTTTATGGTTAGTAGGAGTGTGCAAAATATTCCAAATATTCAAATCCAATTCAAAATAATATTGAGCTAAATCACTTTAAGTCCATATTAATGGATTCATTTCAAATTCAAATCCATATTTGTGGATTTAAACCCAATCCAATTAATTGGATTTGGATTCTGATTATGGATTATTTTTTATTATTTAAAAAAATCCAAAATCAATGTTCATCCTAAGAAATTGTTTGGTCAGGAAAATTTAAGCTTAAGTATGCTCTGCTTTTGAAAGTATAACCTGACCTTAATGCCTGTTTACTTGGCTTCATTATAGTAAGACCTACAAACAAGCCATATGGATCGATTAATAGAAAGACCTACTAACAAGCCAGTAAACTTGACTAAGTTAAGGAGCCTAAAAGGATAATAGGTCTTGTTCATTACATAAATTATTCGTTGTTTTCTAAAGACTAATATGAAAGGAAATAAGAAATTTTCAGATAACAATAAACCATTATGTTAAAAATGGATAGACATGTAGAGGATACATAAACCATTATGTTAAAAGCAATACATGAAGGAAAAAAAAGCAATACTTCCTCCTGTTGAACCATTATGCTATTAGCCAATGTATATGATATGATCACTCCCTCTCTCAAAATTAACAATTTAACCTTGAAAATTATCTTAATTATTAAGTAAAAAAAATATAACAATATGTAATATCCTTGGTTTTAATCCTAATTTTATCCAACTTAAATAGATTTAATGGATATGTATTTAAACTTATTTAAATCCAAATTTAAGCTAGATTTAAAAGTCCAAATTAGTTTGATCCATTTAAATGGATTTGGATCCAATCTATTTTATTAGATTAAATCTATTTAAATAAGTTTAAATACATATCCATTAAATCATTTATTTCTTTTGCACATGCTTTTTCTTTTGCATTTCCTTCCAAGGAAACATCCTGAGCCATACCGAACCTAGCTATTCCAATTTAGAGCATTCATACATATCAACAACAATCTTATGCTTTAGTGAAAAACAATTTTTTTCCATGTCAAGTTCTGTATGGTTAATACGTGTTTTGCATGACCTGGTGCTTCCTAATGTGGGTGTCCAGTGAAATGAAATTGTATATTGGTCAAACATCTTCGGATTCATTATTAGTATTTGACACCAGACATGCATATAGTATAGGTAAACTAGCTTTTAGAAGATAGTTACTATGATGAATGGCATAAGAAAACTTTATCTTTCTTAATATATTGTGCAGTGCCACCCCTGACCTTCTTCATAGTGTCACTGGAGTGGTTATTACTGGATTTTTTATTTTTTATTTTTCATTTTGTTATGTTTTATTTATCTCAACTTTGAAGCTTCGTTGTCCCAATGTAATGATGGTTGACATGAAAATCCTAAATTTATGTTTGTACAGGAGAACTAAAGAAACTGAGAATCCTGGTTGCTGATGCAAAAGCCAATGATATTAAAGTGGTACCTGCTTTATTAAAGAGAATGCTTGAAAGAAATGTGTTCCTTTTTGGCTCTGTTGACTTGATTGAAGGTTGTGTCGCAGAGACAGTAAACCAACTCCAACAATTACAGAATGCCCGTATTCAAGTTGCATATGAAAAGTAAACCACCAAATTACATTTATATCCAAATCCGTCTTTCCTTCACATGTTACTATGAGAATGTAGTTAGCTCAACAGCTTATTGTTTTCATCTGTTCAATGTGGATGACAGGTTATTTGAGAGCACGTCAATTGATAAATATATTCAGATGGACCTTGTAAGTATCTTATTGCTCTGTGACTTACAAAAATATTTATTTATTTTCTTAATTACACTGATTTGCTATCAGATTTCTTAATGACGAGTTTCTGTGAAAATTATATTAATCTTTTCATTTAGAATGACTCTGATGGTATTATAGAACATGAAATGCTGTTTTATAAATTATAACAAGCCTTCTGGAACGAACTAATGGCTCCAAAAGAAAATCTTACCTTATAGTCAATTTTATGTTTCTAGTTACCATGTTTCATTTTTTTTGTGGGTGGGGAGGCTGCTTGGGGTTTATCTTTCTGCCGAATAACTTGGTAGGGTTTTATACTTGATTTTTCCTATTTGAAATTTGAAGCCGTGAGATCCATGCAACTTCTTTGAATTATACACTTTTTTAAAGATGCCATTCAATCCTTGCTTTCATCTGGCTCTGGGTATATTTTGATATCTATATTTTCAGAAGCCAATGAATATGTCTTCGGTTGTATAATCGAATGTAGTTTCGATTGTACATGATTTTGTTGCATTTAACTTCCTTTCTCCTTTCAACACGCCAGGGCTTGGAAGTTGACCTCAATTTGCTGAAGAATAAGTCATCTGGATATGCTGCAGCCAAGAATGTGGCTATTCAAGGTATTTTTATTCCTTTCCTATTTTACATTACAAGGTACCTGGCGGTTAAAATATTTTTTTCTATTCTTGAAGTGACTGCTGGTGTTGAAAGCTAGTTTTTTTCTTTTTCCTGTCATCCTAAAAGGCCAATTCAGGCAACCTAGAAGATACGCTTATCCGAGTTTTTTCTTCTCCTTTTCCTTTTTGTATTTTCTTCCACAATTTGTTTCATGGCCCAAACTAATGTTGATTTTTCTGAACTTATAAATCTAGAAAGATCTTGTCTTCCTATTTGAAGTGCAGTCACATTTATGACATTATTTTTTTTGGAGCATGACACATTGGGGTTCATGGTTCTCCAAATTGAATTGCTTACTTTTATTTTTTATAAAAGGAATGTCAAAAATTTTTGTCCTCGAGACTTTTGTTCTTGGAATTCTCGATCTTAAGAGGAGTGTAGCATGTTTTGGTTTTTGTTGTCTGGCTGTTGCAATTTGCCAACATATGATACATTAATTTGGTGAATTATCTAATTCTATGTCCTCTTTTCTTCTTAAAGAGGCAAGCAGTATTTTAGACGTTGAAAACATAAAGCACATACAAGAAGATAAGCAGCTGATTGGAGATGTTGTGGAGAAGGTTGCTAATGACTGGCATGCCCAGAAACAAACATTTTATAAACAAACAGGATTGGGGGAGGATGATGGCTATGAGAAGGAGCTGGAGCAATTACTTCTAGAGCAGCATCCACATAATGGAGACTCTAACGAAGATTGAAGACAAACAGCTGAGTCGTAGGAGTTTACTTATGGTTAGGGAATTCATAATGTATAGCCCTGTTACATAGTTGGGAGTTTGAAAGAAGTAACATGTTTTACCTTTTCCAATTATCGCTGTTTTAAACAAAACAATGAAATGAAAATTTTAGTATAATGTTTCATTTGATTCATCATTTCTATTTTTCTACGTTAATTTGGAGCATGATCGCAGGCTTCCACTATAAATTGGAGTTACACAAAAAGTTATATTATAAAATGTCCAAATAGTAGCAATATTTTTATTTAATTGATATTGCCTTGTAGCCAGAAGGTTTGTGCAAAATTTGATCCGTTGACGCATTGGTTTCGGCATAATGAACTTTTGCCATGGAGGAAACTCTTTAAAGTGTGTCTTGTCTTGAATGAACGTATGCAAATCATGTTCGATTAGCTATAAACAAAGAAGTGCGAGTTAACAGCAAACACAGGGAAAAAAGGTCAATTGATTGATAGCTTCACTGAAGAGGTAGAAAACCACGTTATTAACAGGTAATAAACAGATGGTAATGAAATGGCGGCAAGAAAATTACGCTTCATCTTAAATAATCCGAATTAAAAAAAAAAAAAAAAAACTCTGCAAAGGCTAATCAAACATCAATCTAGTCTAGACGAGCTGATATGATTCACCACAATTTTTAAAAAGCAAGTGCATTCGGATTTCGTGTTTGTTAAGCATACTGTATTGCAATTCAATAATATCATAATATTGTGCAATGAGCACTAGCAGCAGCAAGAACTGTAGGGTTGGGCCAATTTTAAGCAATAAGAGATAGAAACGTGTTTAGATAACTTTGGAAAGAAACAAAAAAGGCAGAATCATGTATTCATTTAGCGGGCAAATTTCAAAACAAGAGTAGCTCGTGTAATAAGTATTAAATTTTAGTACAAATGGGAAATTATTCAATACCCTCTAACTAAAGAAATACCACCATATACCAATTGTATTGTCCGCTTCCTCTATCATTCAAATTCAATATGCATAAGCTATAACGCAACAACTCACGAACTAACTAGATAGACTATAAACTAACTCAACCAAGTGAACCCTGTGTCCCTCATGCGGCAAGTGATCTATGTTGAAGGTTAGCAAGCCAGAATCAGCATCGTGATCGAAATCAATCTCGTTGTTACCCAGCAGACACCTAGTTGGTCTTGCCGACGAATAAGCCCCGAACTTACCACACCCCTTCATCTCCACACGAACAAGCCCCTGGCTATCCCCCACCTCATAGACCAGCCCTTCAACGGCACCGCCAGCATTGAACATGTTCAGGAGTCCAAGAGGGGAAAAGCTGTACCCAGGACCCAAAACCTTAACAGGCGCAACAGCAAACACCTCGTGCTCCAACACCTTAAGGGACACCGGCAGAGCCACATTGTGCGGAAGCACAATGAGCTTCCTAGAGTGGTGAGAATAGAGCGCGCAGTCACCGTTCCAATCGCTATCACCAGCAGCCTCTGCAATGAGGTGCACATCACGACCACTCACAAAGCCAGTGATGGAAGCAGAGTCAGTGTGATGGAACACATTCTTCTTCTCGGCGGCACTCCACGCAGCACCTTGGCAGTTATAAACTCCCAACACCCCACCGAACTTGTTCATGTTCCATATTTTCAACAAACTCACTCCGTCGCGGGCCGGGTCGCTGAACAAGCAGTCCTTAGTGGGCCTCCCGGGAAGACGGGCCCGAAGCACCGACCCATCGGGCAAGACCATCTTCTTAAGCAGGTCGAAATTATGCTTCCCCGGCGCATCGCTCACATAGAGAGGCCCACCGCTGATGGCCCTAGCAGAAGCGTGGTACTCCGCCGCAGGGTGAAGCGAATGAAACATATCCCAATCGGGCAACATGATCTCGCCGAGGAAGACGCTATTGTACGCCACGGACGCAATGTGGATAGTGTGCGACACCGGATCACGCGGGTAGAAATCGTCCGAAGCCCTCACCACCGCCGTCTGTTTCGAACAGTAGAGCGCGTCCGTATTGTGGCTCATGCAGGCGATGCAACCGTTGTCAGGGAAGTTTCTAGAAATCGAAGCGTCCAGAGCCTGATGGTACTGTCGGGTCAGTTCCACCCTTCCGCCGAGACCCGCACCCAGAGTCTCCAAAATGCACTGCACGTCCACCTTAACGCCGTCTACACCCGCCGACGCCAGATAACTGTGCAACTCGTCGTAAAACGAGAACACCTTCTTAGGGTTCACAAGCCCCAAACCCTGAACCGCGAGCACGTCGGTTTTCCACGCGGGCTCGTTCTCCGTCACTCCGCAAGACACCTTCGGGTACTTCATCACCGAACCGTACTCCTCCATCTCCTTCACCCCTGGACGAACCCCGCCCCAGTAACCCGTGATTGCATGCCACACATACACGTGCTTCACCGCGTGCTTCTTCTTCGCTATGTCCACGATGTTCTTAATCCCTAATTGCGGTTCTTCCTCCTTCTGAAATTTCGCGTTCTCTTTTATCCCCGTCAGCCTCTGCAACGAGTTCGAGTTCTGTTTCCCGTCCTCCTCGTCATCTCCGCCGACGGACTGCCATCCATCATCGATGATGACGAACTTCGGCGGCGTCCCGCCGCCGCTGAGGGACTGGATTCCGGCTTCCACTCCTTCCTGAGTAACTTGCTGGTAGAATGCGTCCCAGGTGCACCAGCCGAAGCAGTCCACGATGCCAGGAAGCTTCTTCTCATGGCGGAGGCGGAAGGTGTTGAGGTGGTTCCTGACGGCACGGAAAGCATGATGAATGGTGGCGAATGGATCGGTGCCGGAGCTGATGAAGATTGCATGGCTAAACGAGGACGCTTTGGTGTCGGCATCACCACTCTCGAGACAGAGTTCAAGGTGATCGTTGGAATTCCCCTGTAGACACGCTCTGAAGGAGCCTTCTACAAGAGGGATAAAAACTGTGTATACGATCTGATTCTGGTCGTTGTTGTCGTTTTGTGATTCGAGGTGGGACCCGTCTTTGGTTTCCACCAACAGAAACTGAGTCTCCAAAGGAATTTCACTCCCTCTCTCTCCCATTTTCTGGGCCATCCACCAGAGCTTGAACCGGAAGCACGCCATGAACCTCACATCCTTCATGGTTCCCAAGGAAACCACGTGTCTGCTATCTTCCTTCTCCAAATCCACTCCCAGAAACATTCCTTCCACTGTGGATGTCTCCACCACGTTCTCCGGTATTCCTGTCAGAATCGTTCTCTCCTTAACCACAAGCTTCCCCTCCGAAACGCGAACACCAGGTTTTATCGTCATCTTTTCAGCTTCGTCAACGTTCCTCTGCAATTAAATCAAACCAATTTTTCGTTATTCCAATGAAACTGAAGATAAATTAGGAATTTAGGGATTTTATAAATTCATACCTTGAATGATACCACCGGAAACACTGGATTCAAGAAATGCCTGCGAATTCGAAAACATGGAGAAGGAAACCATGGCCGTTAGCAACATAATAAGATCGGATAAATAAAATGAAGATTAAAAAAAAAGGATAAGATTAAAATGTTGAGTGATATATATACCAGAAGTTGGGAGTTGCTTCTTAATGGGTGATCTTAGATGAATGCCTGAAAGAATAGTATGTGGATGAGTTGAAAGAAATTGGGATCTGGTATTTATAGGAAAGGACGGAGTGTGACAGAGATTAGAAACCATTGTTAACATCTTCTTCCTTGTCACTCTTGTCAAACCAACGAACATCATCCTCCCTTTGCATATCGTTAACTGTCTTAAATAATAAAATATCCATGGCTGGTCCAATTTGTACTTTCTGATGTTGGATGGGGTGGCCACGTTGGATCCACGCCCGCACGTTTAAGAAAGAAATAAAACCAAGTAAAAGTGGAAAACGTGATGCGGCACGCCTTTTCTCATTGTTGGACACCTGTGCGATTTCCGTTGGGTAAAATTAAAATTTACAAAATAAAAACTTTGGATTGAGAAGAGCAAATACACAATGGTGTTACTTGGCATGATATGTTAGTGTTTAAGGTATGGGTTAAGTATATGAATTATTGCTATTAATTATTGGCTTTTAAATTTTATTGTCTTGTCGTGTAGTCAAGCTATTTAGATTTAATTTAATAATACACTTCATTTAACATAAGTTCCATATAACAAGGTGGCTTGTGCAAGTGACGAACTCCCATTGGCCCATTGTTTATAATCGGGGAACTTGGGATTAAAAACTGGGTTTTATCACAGTTCAGCGTAGTGAGCTGGAGCTAACGTGATTTTGCAGAAAATTATTAGGAAATAGTATTCAAATATCTTGGGAAGACGGAAATGGTCCATCCACTTGGCCAATTGGCTTGTGGTTGGATACTGGATATGGGTAAAAGTTCGAGACTGATTGACCCATTTGATCGTCTTTAATAATTTAAAATGGGCTTTCAAATTTGTTATTTATTTTTAGCCCATCATTGGACTAATGGTTCTTGCATGTCGGATTTTATTCCGCAGATGATAAGATTTTGAAAGTAGGTTTAAGCAATCTGCAGATATTCCTACTTTAGGAATCCAATTGATATCAGATGCAATCTAGAAAAAAACTAGATTCAAGGTACTTACTATTTTCATTCTCTAATCTACTATCATTTAAATATATATATATATATATATATATATATATATATATATATATATATATATATATAGTTATTAATGAAAGTTTAAATATTTTTAATAACTTTTGAAGATAACTCAGTAAGAATATAGCAAAATAAAATATAATTTGTAATATTTATAATTTTTTCACTTTTTAATAGATATTTATTAGAATTTTTTAATCTCCCTTTATATCATCACATCTCCTATAATTTTTTTTATTTTTTTTATATTTTTCTATAGTTGAGATTGAGCATTCATAAAGTATTTTCGAACAGCTGAATTATGTAAACTTCATGTCAAGAATAATGTACTTAGATATTTTAGAAAAAAAGAAAAGATGAAAAAAAAACTAAAATTAGTATACATATGAATTTAAAAATATATGATAAAAAATCCATAAAAAAAATCTCTATAATTTTATTAAAATCAATAGAAAATAACTACTTATTGAATGAATTAAAATGTAAATTAAATATATTAAATTTTATATAAATTAAAAATACGATAATATTAAATATATAATAATATTTAATTGATTTAGATATTTTATTATTTATAAGAAGATTAATATTAGATTATTAATTTTTATATATAAAAAATAAGATAAAAAAAAACTGGATACATTAAAATTTTATATTTATAAATATAGAATCGTATCACATGTCTTAACAAATCTAAAATTGAATATCTCCACAAATGTAGTTTGTCGCCACTAGACATGTCTAATTTGATGTATTTTTCTGGTACAGTAATGCTCTTTTTATTAATAAAAATAGTATCTTAGATTCATTTTAGCATTGATTTAAATAATTTTTCCTTCATCAATCTTTATTTAAAGTCTATATGTGCTGAATAGCTTACCCCACATATGGAATTAATTATAATTACTAACTCGATTAATTATTATATTCTGCCATTTCGTTTATTTTTTGCAATTTAAAATTTGTTAATCCAGACAAGTTAAACTAGATTCCCCAATAATAATTCAGGCTTTCATGAGTATGATGCCATCTATATGCGGCATTCAAAGCCACTCACATAGTTTTTAACAGCATCTGTAATATAGCTTCAGGATCTCTTACTATATCCTCTTGGCTTTCTTGCGAATCATCATGCCCTTGTGTAAAGTCCGCATTAGTGTAAGTTCTAATTCCTGGGCCATGCCCTCCAGTATCCCTCTCCCTTCCTTGCTGTGCTCGCCTAACTTCCTTTTGATGCTCAGTCAGTTCTAACCTCCTCTTTTTACAACTTAAAGGAGGAGCCTCTTTTAGTTTATCCAACACTAGTTCCACCCTCTTAGAAGTCCTGTTATGTTTTGCAGAGACCCATACCCCTGTAGATCATCATTGGCTTCTTCAGGAGAATGACATTTCTTAAGATAGGGTACGCTTCTCTTCTGGAGTTTTAATTTTTCATTTCTGGATAGCCTGTCCAAGACTCTAAGCAGACTCGAGGGGAAATCCAAAATAATTTGCTGACCAAATGTAGAATTCCAAAAGTTTATGGTTGGCCCTGAAATGGAGGGATATGGGTGATCGAGAGTTTTTTCAAATAGAGGTTCGTGAAGTTTGAGTAAAGCGGAACCAAAGTTTATTGGAGGTTGACTTCTTCTTAAGCAGCCTAGAATTTCTGTCCAGAGAAGTTGGAGTTGGTCGTTTGTTCTTTCATCCTGCATTCCCATATTTGATAGCCATTCAAGCAGTGGTAAGGAAACAATCTGCAGTCAAGTATCCGAAAGATTAAAAGGCAGGCTAGTCTGATGAAACGATGGCCGCCCCCCCAAATAATAAATGAATGACAAGGGGTAACACTGTAACAGGAAGTCTAACTAAAAGAAATAAGATCTAATCAACAACAAATTGATTGTCGATTTGGTTTAAGAAAGCATATGAAAGTCATCAGCCACTAATTTCTTTACTGAATGCATACACTTTTGTACAGTTCTCAGATGAAAAGGTGAAAAGAATATGATAAAGACTCTTTATTCTTTAGTCAATCATAATTGAGTTAAGCCTTCTATCATGGACTAAATACGAGTAGTGGTGAAGTAAATCCTCACCTTCCCAAGTTGCAACATATAAATAAATATACATGTTGCATAAAAGCTACTTAAACGAACTGAAAAGTAGGAATAGGAGGAACAAACCTTCAGAACATGAAGAATATCTTGCTTCCAGTGAAGGCAACTAATAAAGCATGTCAACGCAGAATATAGCCTGTGATTTATGATAAAGTGAGAGTCAAGTAGAGTTACTAATTGAACAACTAAGAATACATTGCAGGAGACAGCTTATATTGACCGACCTTGAGGTCCCAACAAATCCAGGGAGCGGGTCTCGCACCATTTTTATCCTCAACAAAGTCATATACCTGAAATGTGACATGAAAATGATCAGTAGCAAGTTAGATATACGAATCTCTTGATTATACACGTGCTTGGCATATCCATTAACAGCAATTGGAGTAGGTTAGGTAATACCCAAAATCGTGTTACTATCAAATTAATATTCATAAAGGCTAAGTAAAGAAGCAAAACATATAATAGCAAGTTAATTACTTGAATAAGTTAATCCCAACATGCTAGTAACTTAACCCAAGAAGTAGAATTGACACCTATTTATAAACTTAAAAAAAAAAAAAGACAAGTATATGTTGAAATGCCAGCGACATTTCTTTTACATCCCCAATTAAACACAAGACGATAGCAATTTCATTATTATCAGGCTAATAAAAAAGTGGATCCATTTTGATGACGCACTTTTTCTACGATTCAACTTTTATCATCCAAAGATTTGAAACAGATACCTCACGCTATCAGAAAGAGACAGAGCAATCACATGTTAAACAACTAGAAAGGCGCATCATATCTTACAAAACATGTTCAAACTTACTTGGCAACACATTTTAAGCAGTTCTTTATGCAGAACAATATTTTCCTATCATAGTCAAAGTTACTTCTGTCCAATTCAGAAACTAATTTCGCAGTCTGAATCTTTTCTAGAATGCATATCAAGAAATTGCCAGATAAATGAAGGACACCAAGATCTGCATCATTGCATGGTAACTCAAAATCAGCACCGCTCTCAACCATGGCAATATTTTCATCAAGGTAGCTGCTTAACATCAAGCACAGATCCCCAGAGAAATTGGTGGTGGATGAGCAACCAATGAATGAGGTGCTAAGAGATCCATGAAGTGCTTTCCATGTTTGAATAACCAGTTCAAATCTCGCCTTTCTTTCTGGTGATACAGGATACTTATCCACAGAGGCACTGGCTTTTGTCAAGGTCATTCTTGGAACTTCAGAAAGTGCCACGATGGGGTAAATTAAAAGATGGCATATGGAAGAATATACAATGCTGTCAGACAAGGCTTCCTGTATTGACTCGCAGTTTGCATTAGATACACAGTAATTCAAACCTTGAGATAATGCTATCCATAAGTCTAAGTAAATTGGTTGAACGTGTCTGTACAAGAAACTAATACTGGTGAGGAGAGCTTCCACGGGATCACTTGAACAAAAGATAAATTTAAAATATTCACACATCCCTTGTGATACGTGATCTGTTTGATGGTATTTCATGGTTAACTGCACCACCATGTAGAAGTACAGTGCTATCAAATAAACCAATGGAGAGACCTTATCCATGTATGAAACACAACTGACACTAAGAAATTTTACATGTTTGTTATGATCAACTGATTGCGTGTCCTCAATGTACTTTAGATCTAAAGAAATATTGTACAGAGGAGATCCCAAGATAGAAGGACCTAACTCCTTTGTGATAGCATCTATAAACTGAATGGCAATACAATGAACATCATAATTTTCTCCAACATCTGAGCATAAATCTTCACATATTTTCTTGATAAATGTTATTAATGAGGTCAAGCACTGCATCATACCATCGTAATTAGTCGATGGACTTTTCACATCCAGTTTGACTCCTTTCAGAATATATGTAAATAACTTCAAAGCAGCATCATAAATATGACTTTTATGATCATAAGCGACAGTTGGCCTAGATGCTTGATGGATGAGATGAAAAATCGTACTCAGATAAAAGTCCAATTGGTTGATGTTCCATGGCATCCATCTAATTAGGTGTTGTTGTTGCTTCCGAGAGCATTTTCCAGATTGAGAATGTTTGTTTTCAGAGTTTCTGTGGCTTACCGAGCCAGTTGACTGGTAGAAAACATCCCTATTCTTCTGCGAAATACTATCAGTAAGCAGATCAAGGCCCAAGTTCCATAAGCAGATGTTATTGCCATCAGGTCCATTCTGGAATATTGCTTTAAGTATAGGCTGTAAAACCATTTTTATTATTGATGGTTCATTGATAGAGATATCAAGCTTACTTAGCAAATAACACCACGTGTTTAAGCAGGATAAATGAACTGATATATCACATTTACAGGACATCATGCCAATCAGTGGCGTCATTATTAGCTTTATGCTTTTGGAAAATCCATTTACTTGATCATCACAATTTTTCCTTCCTAATAGAGCATTCTCCTCTGATGCGTTTTTATCAGAAACCAATAATGGACAGTGAACAAGAGCGTCAATAAGACCTTCCCAAGCAACCTGCACATAAGACACGTGAAAAAGTCATGTAAGCAGCAATCAGTAAATGATGTTAACACCTAATAAATGCTTTATGCATTGGTCTCTGAGGTTGTATTTGGTAGAGTTAAGGGGGAAGGATGGAGAGGGAGAGAACTGATTTGTGTGCTTGGAAAAGGGAGAGAAGAGAAGAAATAATTTGTGGGACACACTATACTATTTCTAACATATTTATGTTCATCTCTCTTTATTTCTTCTTACTTCCTATCAAATCAATTAAATTACACAACTTTCAAAACACTTTCTCTAAGTTTCTCACCTATTTCTACTCTATCAAACAACTAAACCTTCAATTTATTTCTTATATATTTCTCTTTTCTTCACTTTTTTTTTTTTCTCTGTTTTCATTCCCTCTGTATTTCTTTCCTCAAAGTCAAATACTGCATGAATGTCAACCATATATATTTAAGCCACTTTCTGTCATCTCACTTCAAATAATGAACAGATTTACATCCCAGACATAGTTCATCCTTGTGAACCATGGATGAGATAAAAGTAAACCAGTAACTCGTATATAGTACCTGTGTAGCAATTTGAACTTGTGGGTCAAGATCTGTAAATGTACGTTCGGGAATTTTCAGCATATCATTAACTAAATGCCTACTCTTTAAAGCATGGGATCCAAGCATTCGGACAAACCATCCCCATGCACGCACAGCTTGCGTCTTCATACCATTGTCTAGCAAAACCTTCATCCCATTGAGCAGTTTTATCTTCATATCTTTGACAATAACCTATTGGAAAAAAAAAAGGTAATTTAATAAGGAGACATAAGAGCACGAATTTCAACTTTAAACCAATGTGTGAACGTTACAGACCAAGCGTGACATCATGAACCATGTAAATTTGAAAATCCATCTTGCAATACCACAAAAATAATTTAGAAATATAGGCAACAGGGATTACAAGTACACACAAAGTTACAAACTTGGCTATATAAAACATTGTAGTTTCTTATCCTTTGCATAAGCACATAAGCAACAGTAGTCTTAACAGCGTAAATAGCCATAATATAATCATGTCATGCCACTAGAGTCCAGATCCATCTCTTTATGTTGATATCACACTAGGTTTGGTACCTTAGAGAGATCCAGAGAAGGAGGAATGACTGTAGATCTTATCTTCAACAAGCACCTATCTGAGGCATCCCTCTCCCTCTTATCTGTGCTGAGAAGTCTCCTGTATATTGGGGGAGCCCATATATGGGATGAGCCTTTCATTTGTTCGCTTAATTGACCTGAAAGCTTCATCGCAGCCTGGAATCCAAAGGTTAAAAGATGAGTATCAAAAGAAAAGTTCTCACCCTAAAGATGAATTCCAACAATAAATATGGAGATTGTTTTCTTTGTTCCTTATTTTATTTCACAAAACTTAAAAGTAATTCTTTAGGTACTTTTAAAGCTATTCTATAAACAAAATCAAAGTTTTAGCCACTGTGCTAACTTTAAATACAAATTGTTATCATGGAATTACTGAGGTTAAATTAATTCTGAGTGGGAAATGTCAAAAATAACTAAGGAACTACATAAAAATTATTTCAGTTTTTTTATTTGACCTCGTATAGCATCAAACTAAAGAAAGTGAACTGCACCTGGGTAGCTTCAAATGTTGTGGACAAAGAACCCATAGGATTGTCTAGGGCATGAACAATTGCCCGTAACAAAGAATGAAAGTGAGTAACAAGAAATGATGTTCCCAACTGCTGGACAGATAAACACCATACCCCTAAATTACAAGCAGACTGCAGCAATAGTCAAGACAGATAATGTAAACAACTAAAAATAACTCAAAAACTTTGTACTAAAGCCGAAAACACTAATCAAGAGTAAAAAGACATCATACTAGCCTTCAATTTTGTAGTCGTAATAAGTTTGGGCAATGTAACCAGAATCGAATTGACATCATCCACTGCAAAAACAAGCGAAAGTCAGCTTTCCACAAAACAAAATCGATTGGTTGAAACACGACACGGGAACCACATACCTCGAAGGACGGAAACGATGGATGGATGATAAAGCATGAACCCCAAACACTTCAACGCTTGAGTGGCTCTGACAGACAAATAAATAGATTAATTAATGGAAATTCTAATCATAGAAAGAGAACAAAGAAAAAGGTCAAAACGATTGAATGGTGAGAAAGTGGAAGTTGGTGCTCACATTTCTTCATCGTCATGGTCGAAGATGTCGGAAACTATGGAGGAGATTATGGATTGGGCGGAGTGAGCGAGGGATTGTAGAGAAGAAGTGTTGACGCAAGAATGCTGCTGAAATTGCAAGAGGGATGAATAGCCTGAGGATTTGTTGAACTTGTCATCTGAAGAAATTAAAATGTGGATTGTTTTAATCTCTTCTGACATTGTTTCTTGTGAAGCTTTCTGAACGAATAATCAACTAACTCACAGTCTCACACTACTCATCGGCTTCGCCGGAGAAGACACCAGAACCAATCTTTCGCGCCAAAACCCGGTTTCGCGGTCAACCCCTCACACTGAAAAATGCTGTTTAATTTATAAAAATGTCATCAAAATAAAACACCATTCTGAAAACACTCTCTATGTTCATATGGAAATTCAAAATGTTTTTTCATCCAACATTTATATTTATTTAATTATAATATATTTATTATATAAAAAAATAGTTTTAACATGTTTAAGAAAATATATTTACAAAATGTGGTACTAACGTTCTTTTTGTTTAATATTTTCTTGCTAAAGTTAAAATTATGTAGTTCTATGCAATAAATATATTTTTATAAATAATATAATTATATATACATTTTTTTAATATACTATAAATAATAATGTTATATTGTTTAAAATAATAATTACTTTTTACATATTTATAAAACTATGATTACTTTTAGTCTAAATATCTTTCATTTTATTATAAGTTTAAATTATTTTTCCTAATAATTTAAAAAAAATGTATTTATCCTAAAAAAATCTACCATATTAGTTATGTGTTACTTTTTATTTAAATCATTTTTGTCTCTAATAAATTTGTTGATTTTACATTAGGTTCTCATAAATTTATATATATTATTAGTCTCTCGTAAAAATTGTCTATCTTATCTGTTCTTAATAAGAAAAAATCACATTATATTTCTGTCATTAAGTTTTATTATCTGATAATATGAAGATTAACAAAAATTTTAAAAAGAAAAAAATAAAAAATTATTATAGAAAATCAAAACACTTGTAGATTGAAATTCTGCCGTCATAACAAAATATTCAAACCATTTTCACTATTATGCAGTTGTTAATTTAGAACGTTAAGACAATATTGTGAAGCTAAGAAAGGATGACATCAAAGTGGTGAAGTCACGTATAATAATATCTTGTCTAAAGTAGTTTATTAATTCTTATGAATGTTTTATTTATTATTTAAATAATACATATTTTATTATTATACTATGAAAAAGGAAAATGAAATAAATTATTAGTTAATGGAGTTAATAAATGAGTTTTATACACGTTGAATGTTCATTTATAACCACAATTTTTAATGAAGCCAATGAGTTTTATTGGTTAATCAACGACTTGTGATAAAAAAACACGTAACTTTGTTTGATTAATGTAAAATTATTTTATTTACGTATAGCCAACTTTACTTGATGAGAAAAATATTTAGTTAACTCAATCGATCGTTATATTTGACGACGTGGTTTTTACAAAATAAATTTATTGAACCATTTTTTTGAAACCATTTGTAAGTTTTGGGTTCGACTTTGTGAGATTATTTGTTTAAGTTATTTCATACTTCGAGTATTTTGAATTAAGAAGTACGTGTGATAGGTTAAGGTTAAAAAAAAATTGCAAGTATGTTATAAAAAATAACCCATTTTTTTTCAAAAGTTATCATTTAAAAATATGTGGGAAACTTATAAAAAGGTCCTAGGAGCACCTTTTTAATTGATTTTGAGCGATTATTTAGAAATATATAAATGAGATTTTTTGTAAGAGGTTTAGAAAATTAATTTTAGAAGATAAATCTAAATAAATAAATTCTTAAGGAGATTATAATATATTTTTTAATAAAAGTTTAAAAAAAAAAATTAGACCATGACCCTTCGCAAGTCTCTTTTTCATCTACCTCTAAAGATGACTTAAATTTATTATGATATTAAAAACTACTTAACAAAGAATTTTAACATGGTAAAAGTAAAAATTGATAATTTTTTTAAAATTCTCTAGCTTCTTTATTTTTTTTATAATGATTATTTTTTTTTTCTAGCTTAAGTGTCTCATGTTTGACTTAGTGAGTAAGAAGACTATCTCGTTCTTTATATTTCACTTTTGTTTGTTCTCTCTTTATATATATATATATATCTTTATTTTTTTTTTAAGAATGATGATTACAATTAAATAATATTTGTAACGACCCTATAAATCGTTATTATAATGATGTCTTCGCAAAGTAGTAAACAAGTAAATAACAACATCTATTTTACATTATATTAATGTAATTGTAACATATATTGAAATTCCAGTTCACTAATGAAACTTCAAAATATAGTAACATAATTTATTTATATATTATACATGTAAAAGTAGCTCCCTCGAAGCTATCTCACTGAACTATCCCTACCTGTCCAAGTAGTCACATCACCATCTCTCAACTCCCGATCTGCTCCCACATAAAAGTGATCATCGTAGTCTCATCCACATGGAAAAATAGGGGTAAGTATTAAATCATTTGATATAATAAAACAGATATAGAAGTAATAATTATATATTATGATCAATTACGAAATTATCAACACACTAAGACACCTTCCGGAAGTATACCCTAACTATGCCCGAACTCAGAGGCTATCATCTGTGGGCACATTGTGATCGGCACCCGCAGTACCATTCTGATCACCCTCCACACAGAGTAGGATTACTGGCGCCCTTCATTACTCATACTGGAGTACCCCTCCGAGTGCGCCACCAGTCATCCCCCATCGACTTTTCACCACCTGATCTCGTAGTCTACCTGACCCGACCAATCAGTGAAGTCTGAGACCTCATTCAGAATCCTCTGACATAGTTATTACACTAAAGTACTTTGTACCACCCCGGGTACCATTCAAACATAACAAAAATCATTCACATTTGCCGGATTCTGGACCACCTGTCCTCACGGCTCATTCGGGTCAATAAAAATAATATTAGACTGATTCTGGCACCAACCCTCCGGCTCAGTCTAGCCAATATATAACGTCTCAGGATCGATTCCGGCATCGACCCTCAGGCTCGATCCGACTCACACACGTCACAACACACTACTTTCATTCTCTCTCTCTCTTTATATATATATATATATTTTTTTTTCTAAAATCATTTCTGAAATCATTTTCGAAATCATTTCCGAAACTATTTCAGAAACTATTTTTGAAATCATTTTCGATATCATTAAATTATTATTTTGCCCTTAATTTTTTCTTAAAATTCCATGTATGTCCCTAAATGACTATTTTACCCTTGAACAATTTCAAAAATTCCATTTATGTCCCTAGGATGTAAAATGACTATTTTGCCCTTGAACATTTTCAAAAATTAAATTTATGTCCCTAGGATGAAAAATGATTATTTTACCCTTGATCTTTTTAAAAAACCCTACCATATCCCTTTCTTCTTCCTTCGCCCAGAATAGCAGTGTCAAATTTTGCAGATTTTGGCAGATTTTAAATTACTCGAGTTTTAGACAACCAAACTAGTTCTAAATCGAAATTAAACATGAATTATATCTAATTTAAGTTGAAAACAACAATTTTACCATATAATTCATTCTTAATTTCAAGAATTTAATCAATATTTAAAACTTTGCAAAATATGAATAGTAATCACCTCCAGTACGCCATTTTCAAAATCCAGGTTTCAAATTTCTCACTTTCAATCACCCAAATTAGTTCCAAATCAAAATTAAACCATAAACATGTTCAATTTAAGTTAAAAATAACAATTTTATTATATAATTCATCCTTAATTTCAAGAATTTCGAAACTTTCAAACAGATGAACAGTTCATCAGAATCAGAAATTCTTCAAAATCACACATTCAAATAATTCATATCTCTACTCCTATTCCTTATTCACGAGTACCCAACAATTCAATTTCATATATTGAATGAATTAAACTTCCCCTTACCTGGTATGGTATTTCTACCGAAGTTTTCCCACTTAATTCAAGTTCTCTTCCTTTTCACCAGATCCTGCACGAGTAGAGTCTCGTTGCTTGAAATTTAGACAATAGAAGAAGAAGGATGACAGGAAATTGTTATTCTCCTCCTCCCCCGCTTCAGTACGCGCAAACTTCGTTACGAAGTTTTCTTGCACAATTTACTGTGCATGAGGAAAAATTTATATAAAAGAAAAAATTTACTGTGCATGAGGAAAACTTCATTACGAAGTTTTCTTGCACAATAATCTTATTATAATATAAAAAAAAACATACGTCACAATCTCCCCTCCACAAAAATTTTCGTCCTCAAAAATGAACTTACTTGAAATAGATATGGATAGGACTCTCGCATCTGGTCCTCCATCTCCCAAGTGAAGTCTCCGGATTTCTGATCCCATACTACCTTCACCATTGAGATGGTTCTACCTCTAAGTTGCTTCAGCTGAAAATCCTCTATCATCACTGGTCTCACATCAACGGAGAGATCGCCTCTAATCTGCACATCGTCTGACTCCAGGACATGATTGGAGTCATGTACATATTTCCTCAACTGAAATTAGGCATGGCAACGGGGCGGGGACGGGGGCCCGTCCCCGCCCCCGACTTTTTTAACCATCCTCGTCCCCGCCCCCGATCCTCGCCGGGGTTAGGAATTAAGTCCTCATCCCCGTCCCCGCTGGGTTTCGGGTTCCCCGCCCGTCCCCAATTTATATTATTTTTAAAAAGATAATTATATTTATAATAAATTAATTTTACTATGTATTTTTATATATAAATAAATATTTATAATTTATAGTTATTATTAATTAAATATACATTTTAATTTATTATATTTATATTAAAATATATATGTAAAAGAAATATTTAATTATTTTTTATTTATATATATATATATAATATTTATAACATTATTATTATTATTATTATTATTATTATTATATATTCAAATATTTGAATATTTATAACATTATTATTATAATACTGTATTCAAATATTTAATTATACATATAAGTTAATTCATTTTTAAGTTGTCAATATATAGTTTATAAGAAAATATTTAATAAGTTAATTCTTATTTAATTAGTTTGAAGTAATAAAAGTTTAAATTATTAATTTCTTTTAATCCTTTAAAATGCAATTATTTTATTAAGATAAAATTTGATATATGATAAATAAGCATAATAAGATAAAAA